TTTTTTTCCCCTGATGAAAGCCAGGCTGGTTCTTGCTTGGCACACCACAGAAGTTCATGTTATTTGTGGGTAAAGTGCTCTGGAGCAGTCGTGTTGGGAGGGATCCTATATAAATGTAATGTGAATTGATTTTAAAGAAGCGTCAGGCAGCCCTGGGACGACCCCCCTAAACAGACACATGCGCAGACGTGCACAGTTCCGATCCAGTGAGGCTGGGCCCCTCAGGGCCGCAGCAGCTCAGCCGTAACCTGGCAGCCGTGACTCGCATGCCGGCTCGCCTCTGTGTCAGGTGGTACCGTGTGACGCATCATGATGTAACGTGCGGCTCACGGGCAGGTGCTCGCCGGCTGTGGTCGCGGCTGACGTCTGTCTGGTCGCCGACTGCCGCCTCATCTGCCCTGTCTAGTTAGGCTGGGGTGGTGAAAACAAGGTGACCTGGTTTTGTGATTCTGGGGGGGGGCGGGGAGGGGCTCTCTGACATCCCCTCAGAGCTCCATCCACGACGAGCGATGCTTGGGACGGCCCCCCTTCCCCCAGCTTCCGAACCCAACACCTCCTTGCAGGCGAGCTTCCGCATGCCGCCGGGAAGCTGATTGCATGAAGGGCCCCTTTGATTTGAGCAGGCCGGTTAATGAGCATCTGCTGAGGTCCCCCATCCAGAAAAGTGGACTGGAGTCACTTTTTCAATGCAGCCTGCTGTGTCCCCCCCCCCCCCCCCTCGCTTGCTTAGTTTTTCTTCCCCTCAGAAGCTTTGCACCTGTCTGGCTCTTAATTGCCTGAGAAGCCCGTGTTCAATTTGTGCTGATCTGCTTTTAAAGTGCCCACCCCCACCCCAGCCGATTGGGGGGGGGGGTCTCAGAAGGCAGTGTATGAAAGCAGTGCGATGTCCCAACAGGTCCGCCGCACCTTTGAAAGTTAGTTGGCCAGTTTTGTACAGCCTGGGTTCATAAACGTACCCCTTCCAGCAGGAGACACTGTGCTTGTTGATGGAAATTGACCAAGACCTGACTGACACTCATCGGGAAAAATCAGTCTGTGTGGGACCCAAAGTCCCTGCATGGAAAAGCGTGACTGTGTGATTTCTCATTAGCCAGATTCTCCCTGCTTTAAAACCCCCCCCTTTATGGTCAGGTCAGGATCTTTGCCCCCATACGGAAGGGCCTCATTTCTCAGTTTCCTTTATAAATACAAACACCATCCCCATCTGATTAATATGCTAATTGTCGTACCTCGCTAAGTGTTCTTCAGACACCGTGTTTTGGTAGCGCTTGGCGAGAGATGCAATCACAATTAAATTATCATAATTGAAAAGCATCTCTAAAAACACATCTATTCATTGCTAAGCTGCTTAGGCAGTATTTTAAGCAGTTGCCATGCATAAATTAAGAGAGAAATTCAAATTTCTTTTTTTTTTCTTTATTCATTTTACTGTCTGAAAGCAGTGTGGGCTTTGTCCCCTGGGGAGATTAGCTTGCACTTGTTATTGAAATGAGCTCTGGGGTGATTTACCTGTCGGGCGTTGCGTCTGAGATGATCTCCGGGCAGGCCTGAAGGCACAATCTCCGGGGGAGACGTCGTCACTGTCCTCCACTGAAGTGCTGCTGCTTCTTTCAGATGGAAACTCTGAGAACGGAGAGCTGGACCTGAAGGGGATCGACGACGACGAAATCGAGAGGGTGAGCTGGCACTTTGACTGCAGCATGTGTGGCTCCATCACCTGCTCTCGGAGGTCCCCTGTCGCGGGCTTCAGCGGCCGAGCACCGCCTCCTGACAGCAGGCCCTCCTGACAGCAGGCCTTCCCTCTGCAGGCCCATCGCCTCCCGCACTGCTGGGGCTCCTGTTTCTCGCGCTCCTCTTCTGGGTACACTAATGATCTCTCTCTGCTTTTGTAGTACATTCTAAATGAGAAGGAAGTGAAGATCAAGACTGAGCTGTGGATGCAGCAAAACGCAGACTATTTGAAGGAGCAGAAAGGTAGGATTCTCAGACCTACCACTGTCAGAGCGTGCGGAGTTCAGATGAATATTGATACTCGTCTTGACACATCTTATTAATCTGGGCTGGATATTCCGGAGGCCTGACTTCCTGCTGTTAATTGCTCACGTTGTATTTCAGTCATGTCTGTCTTCGTTTCAGAAAAAGAAGAGAGAATCGCAAAGGAGAAGGAGCTGGGCATATACAAGGAGCAGAAGGTGCTGGCCACGTGCCTTTAATCACGCCGCCCGTGTCTCCGCCACCTCGCACCCGCACCCGCGCACGTCCCAGGCCACGTCCCCCGCTCCTGTCACACTGGCAGCTGGGGGTGACACTGCTTTACTAACCTGACAACTGCACCTTTATTTAAATGCGACGGATTAACCGGCATGTATTTAATGAGGTGTGGAGATTCCGACGGCAGACACTGAAGCCTCATGCTTTTCGGGTTGAAATCTTGTTATTATGATCGTTTCACATCCATTTCCCCCATTAGGTAACGAGGGTTAGCAAACAGTCAGGCGCCAATTCAAATTCACAACGATACGTAGAAACAATTCAATAACGATATTGCTTTATATTGTTGTTTCATTGATTTTCCTTGACTATGGTCCCAGGCTCGTTGGGTTTGATCCTTTTTATCCTTTTAATGCGTATTTTTTTATTTACAGTAGTTTGTTTGTTCACTGATGATGGATGAAACGGAGGCTCCACCGACAATGAACCCCTCCACCCCCCCCCCCCATGTCCTGCAGCCCAAGAGGCCGCCGAAAAAGCGGGAGCCAATCCGGGCGAGCACGGCGGGCGAGGCCATAGAGAAGATGCTGGAGCAGAAGAAGATCTCCAGTAAGATCAACTACGACGTGCTGCGTGACCTCGACAAGAAGGGCAGCAGCCCCGGCGCGCAGCCCGAGGAGACGCCAAGCAGCCCCGGCGGCCGCAAGCTAAGCGGTCGCAGGAAGCGCAACATGGCCGCCCTCGGCCTGGGCAACCCCATCAGCAGCGTGGGCAAGAGGTGGGTACCGGTGGGCGGTGCCTGGTCACGTGACTCAACCCTCCTCGCTGAGAGGGACCTTGCCTGTTGTCGTCGTGAAGATCTACCAGGAAGAATCGCTTTTCTACCATTTTGCCTCCTTCCAGATGTCAGATTGTACCACTGATGAAATTTCATCTTAATGCTTCATCCTGTATATCAACAAGCAAGGGCACAACACATTTAATACTTAATACATTTCACTGCATCTTCTTTTAAATGAAATGATGTTGGCCTAATGCAGACACGCCGTAGCGTGTTCCTGAGCCTGCAGTAGAGAGACGGCGCTAAAGAGCCCCCCAGCCCCTTAACTAGCCTGTGACATCTGCTTGTGATTTTTCTGTTCTGCTTTATGGGAGAGAGACCCAGAAATAACCTTCCAGTATAAATTTAGCTGGAATAGGAGTGACAACGTGGAACAAATTTAAGACAATAAATGCATGTATTTGCTTCCTCAGCTGAGTTCAGCACTGTGTCCCTGGGGGGGGGGGGTTATGTGGGTGTGGTGGAAGGCAGTCAGAAAGAGACCCCCCACAGCTGAGCATTTGAAATGGTTCAGGAGCAGTTTGGTGCTCGTGTTGCCCTCCTGAGAAGCTGCCTGCAGAGTGCAGTTTATTTCTTTGCCCCCCCCCCCGGTTTCTGCCTGCCGTTTTCCCAGCTGCACGCGACGTGCCTCTGACCCACTGGGATGTGACATGCCCTCCCTCCCTGCTTGTACTGGGAAGGTGTCGCAGAGTTAGCAGAGTTCCTTCAGTTTTGGGGATGCATTTTTCCACAATGAATCATTAATGTTTACCAGACGGCTTCCTGAATCTTTCAGGCCCTGAGGTCCCATACCTGCTTTTTCCCTCAGTGGGCGCTGGAGCAGCTTGCATAGTGTGTTCCCTGCTTGAGCCGAAGCGTGGAGCTTTGGTAGCTCTTTCAGAGCGCTCTGTGCCCACCGGGCCCGTGGCCCCTCCAGCTTGATGCTCGCCCTGCCGTGCGCTGCGTGAATGGCGTCATCTGGGCACGCTGGGTGTGCAGCTCGCCTGGGCCAATCAGGGGGGGAGTCTGGGTGCCACAAAGACCCATAGTGAGCCTATTGTGTGTCGTTGCAGGGACTCTGCCGCCTGGGACACTGTAGCATTGTGATTTTGCCCCTCCCCAGCCCTGGGCTTGCCCCGCAGCACTCCCAGCATTCCCCAGTACAGCCCAGCCGGCTGCCAGACAGAGAGGACCTGTGTTCCCTACACTTGGGCAAAGATGGAAAAGCACTCTTGCAGAAATAGCCAGCATAATTACCCTCTAGTGTTTCCCCATACCCCCAATCTCCTTCATCTGTCCCTGACAACTGAAAATGTATGTGTACGTATAGAAATTTACATAAAGCTTGTAATAATATTATTTATCCTTTTGTATGGCCTTGTGCTGACTTAGGCTATTAGTCTGCAGTGTATTTCAGGACCTCTCTGCAACAGCAAATGGTCAACTGCAGCAGTTTTTATGCAGCACAGCCCAGCAGGTCACAGCCTGTGCGCGCCAGCCCGCTGATTTGCCGTTCCTGCTGCTGTGTCTGGGTTTCTCCTGGAAATAGACGCTGCCCTTTGCCTTTCCCCGGTGCTGACTAAATGGCTCCGGGAGGGGGGCGTGGCTAGCCTCTGGCTCAGCACGCGGCATTAGCGACATGCTAAGCGGCTCCATTCGCACCCCCGCTTGCGGCGTGGGCTGGCTTGATGTTTCACACCTGATCACAGTGCCCACCCAACACGGTGGCTGCCACAGCAGGCCTAGAATCCCCCCTACCTCGTTTTAACCACTATGTGATGTGCAGGATTAAGACTGCCTGTTATCGCTCGACAATTAGTCTGGCGGTTTAAGGGGCTGCCTGTGTGCTACGTGTTTATGGGGCTTATTAATTTAGGTAGGGTAGATGAGACCCCGAAATTGTCCAGTGTGTTTGAGAGACGCCATATTGCTTTGTTTTTATTTCTATGTGCGTGGGTGTGTGTGTTTGTAAATCCTGCTAAGCATTAAGTTGTAGTGTCTGGCTTAGGGCTTCTCAGCCCTTACGGTTTTGCTGAGTTTTCGGGAACTGGCTGCTCGCTGCTTCGCTCCCTTCGTTCATGTGTTTCTCCTTGGATTCTCTGATCTTTTTTTTTTTGTTGTTGTTGCATTGGAACCTTTGCATGACTTATTTTCCCCAGCCCCTTCCGCTGCATTTCTCGTCGAAGGGAGTGTTTGCTTCTCTTGACTCTTTAGGGCACTAGCAGATGTCGTTCCAGTGAAGGCCAGCGGGGGTGTGGTGGTTAATCTGAACCCGTGACTACCAGATTGAAGTCCCTATTATCAATCTTAGGGGGACCATTCAGGTACTAGATCGAGACCCGATTCCTTCAAAATCCAGCAGAGCTGATTTAGATCATATGTCTGCTAAGAAAATGAATAATGGATCGCAGTTCAGGCAGCTGGCTCTCCAGTCTTCCAGAGCTCTTGAGAAACATGCATACATTGACAAAAGGCTCTGTCCTGCCAGCTCTTCGGCAGTCTGGGAGCTCGCTGTCAGTTTTCCAGTCAGAATGATGGAACAGCCCAGGCGGAGTATATAAATGATCTGGTTGTAGGTAATGAGGCCGTGTTACCTGACTGGACCTGCCTACTCATTAGTCGGGAATAGAATCATTCGGGTGCAGCCTGTGCTGTAGGTCACGTTACCACCATGTTTGCTGTTTACTCCTCTGATCTGCAGTCCTTTACACGTGGTGTAAAGCCTGCTCCTTGTAGGGCTTAGCTAACCACTACTCAGGATTAGTAACCTGTCTAGGCAGGCCACTGCCGAGGGAGGATGAGGGGATTAAAACCTACTATCAAACCAAGAGGAGACCGATGGGGCTTTGATCTGCTCTGGCTCCTCCCGTCCGGTGCCAGTGGGGGCAGCTCGACCCCCTTCGCGTTTGCCTGTGACTGCGTGCAACCCTGCCGTCTGCGAGGGTCCAGGAGGGGTAACGGGAACCTATCTGTGGGGCGTGCGCTCAGAGTTGGGGTGGGGGGGGGGGCAGTAATGCATTTCCTGCATTTTTCTTACAAATTGTGACAAGTTTTGAAACAACTTTATTACGAAGCTCAAAAGTGATCAGGCGATTTGCTTCCATGTGCGGTAAAGTAACCAGTCATTTGGGCCATATTATCTTTGCTGTCGCAAGCGATGAATTTATTAGTCCTACAAATGCAAAGAAAATGCTGTTGACATGTTACCCTGCCGCAGGAGACTGTGGGGCAAGTCTGTTTGCTTTCATCGACGACACCTTGGCGTTCGTGCCCCCCGCCCCCGTGCGGGGTGACAGCAGCAGAAGCGAGCCGCATCAGTCATGTGCCTGGTGTAATCATAGTGGTGTGATTTCTGACGGGCAGCATCCTGCCCTGTCACAACATCCTCGAGGCTCGGAGATCACTGCCAAGGCTCCTCCTTCCAGCGATCCAGCCCACCCCAGCTTCTCTAAATCCATTACTCCCCCCAGTCTTCATGTGACATGTAGGTCATCTTTTATTAGGTCATATAAAGCAGCTACTCTAATATTTCGTCAATAAAAATATTATCTAAAAATAGTACCATAGCTTTTCCGCTACAGTCCCTGTACAGGACTGGGGTCAGAAAGAAACACACAGCCGTAGGTCATTTTTTTCACGTGTCGGGAATCACCCAAACAGAATCACTGTTAATCACATGGCTGAGCCGTGTGCCGCACAAGATCCGTTCCCCCTAACGGAGTGTTCGACAAGAAACACATGGGTCCGCTAAGCCTGGAGGCTCTTCCCTGTGACACCTCTTAGCTTGATCGTTATTCATTTGAGAGTTCTGAGGGCAGACGCCGGGGCCTCATGCTCTTCCCGTTCGTATCTTTTGGGGGAGCAGGCGGAATATGCTGTGGAAGATGTCCACGGCCCAGATCGCCTGATTGGATGTCGACGGAAGGCCTGCAGAAGGGGCCTCCGTGATGTCAGTGTGTGGCGCTGTCTGCTGTGACTCGGGAGGCCGGGAGACCCATATGTTTGTCTTTGTCTGTCCGTCCATCTGCTTACGTGTGTGAGGGGAGAACATGGGGATAGGTCCGGCTCGCGTGGTGCAGGAAGTGCTTTGATGTGTAAATGCAGTGCTTAATGCGTCACAGTGAGCATAAATGCGACTGCAGCCTCGTCCGTGGTGATACCCTTGACAAAAGGCCTCTTGCTTTCCTCCCTTCCGTAATTTGAGAGTGTGTGCCCCCCCCCTCCTGGTGTCACCTGGACACCGTTCCTTTGGCCTGCCGCCCCACGATGTCCTCGACACCTGGCCTGTCACTTGTCAGCACTTTCACGCTGCAGGGTATCCCATTAACATCACTGGGCTTGTGGCTGCTTTAATCTCCGGGGGTTGCGGGGGTCACGGCCGTGCCGACAGCCCCCACCACGCCACAGTGCCGTCCTGGCACCCAGTGGCACTCCCCTCACCGGCTCGTCAGAGACGTGCCGGCCGACGGCGCTGAAATGAGCTAGTCGCTCCCCAGCTGTCCCGATTAGTGATGTGCTGCTCTGCCCCTAGGCTGCGAGGAGCGCATCCCAGCAGGCCAATGGGGGGAGGGCAGCCTGACAGATGTCCCTGGATATGGCCTCCTCTTTGTTCTGTGTGCATCCATACCAGCTGAATCGGGCCTTTTCGCTGGACCTGAGCTGACCTTGCATGTTTGAGCGTAATAGCTCAGTTTGGCTGGTGGTCTCCTTCCATGCATGGTCAGGTGAACAAATAAGGTGTGGGTCACCTGCAGGGGGGGGGGGGTGTAGCAGAATCACTGAAGGTTTATATTTGACCTTTTATTTGTGTTTTGGTTTTTAAATGCATCTTTTTGTCTCTGCTTGCTTCCTTGTTTTTGAGCTTGGTTTTCAACCGGTTGCCACAGCGATGAAGGCCCTTTCTCAGGGGACTGATGCTATCTGAACTTGGGTGAAGATTGGACACGACTGTAATTACAGAAATAATGGATCTGCAATTAGGCAAAAGGCTGATTTGCAAGGCGCTGAAGTGACACATCAGATAGAGAATTGGTTTCTGTCCCTCGGGATAGTGGTGACATGCCGCCTTTTGAAAAATGATTTTTATTTTTTTTTAAAGCCTAAGAACTAGACTCTCTGAAGAGTAATTCCCTCCACAGCATGGTTGATGCACTTGCCCCCCTCCCTAAGAAATGCTGCTGGAAGATAGAACGCTGTCATGGACACCCAGAGGATCTGGCCACCATGATGGATTGAAAGCTGCAGATTTATCTCGCTGTGAGCCCGTTTCATTAGCGCGGCTGTCACCCCATCTGGCTGCCCTGGAGGGTGGACCACCTGAGGGGGGGGGGGTGCTGGCTGCTCCTGTGGTCCCGCTGCCCTCTGCCCTGCTGTGAGTGAACCCTGTCAACAGTAAGCAGGCTGGCGTACCCGGGATGGGCTTGTCATATGCTAGGAGCACATGCATAAAGCACAGGCCTTGAGTGTAAACAGTGTGTGTTTTTGTTTGTTTGATTGGCTGTACTTTTCATTGGGTTTTGATTTGATTGGCTCTTGGTTAATATGGTTGTCAGCCTTAATCTTTCCTCCGTGTCAGTAGAGAGTGAAGCTGTTCCCTCTCTGAGATGGTTCCCATAGCTGAGACAGCGAGGGTGTGGGATATCTGAGCATGGGATATCTGTGTAGCTTTAAGCTGTGGAGCCGCTTGGGGAAGGTCGGGTGCTTTGTGACGGATGATTTCTGCATTAATGGTCGGACTCGGTGCCTTGATAGGGCAGGTGGGCGGCGGCTGGGGCATCTGTGAGTCGTGCCCCCAGAGCAGAGAGCGCTGAGGCCTTGTACCCCTCAGGCTGTCTGTGTGGGAGGTGGCCCTCGTGCAGGAGCCAGAGGATGGGCCAGGCGTGGCCATCAGAGCCCCAAGAACCCAGCATAGCCCCAGCCCACCTGCCGGCATGTGTGGCTCTCAGACGGCCGAGACCTTGGGGGAGAGAGTGAAGTTACCCAGCCTGCTGCCGGCACCCAGCCCCCTGCACTAAACACCTTCTGCCTTCCTTACTGTTATTTATTACTCTTCTTCAGAACTAAACATGTTTTCCCGTAAATAACCAGACCCGTTCCCCTCTAGTCCTGTGCGGGAGGAAAAACAGCCGTTTAAAAATCAATAGTGTCAGTGTTGGGTTGGGCTGGATAGCTCTGGGAGGCCCAACAATCGATCCATTCGGCTCGGTGCGGCTCAGTGCTGCCAAGCTGAGGTCGGTCCCAGGATGCAGGGCAGAGATGAATAGGAGGCTGTAGTCTTAGCGGGAGCTGGGTCGAGGTGGAGTTGCTGGGTTCCTGCCAGTGACGTGTGTGTGTGTGTGTGTGTGTGTGTGTGTGTGTGTGTGTGTGTGTGTGTGTGTGCGCATTCATATGCACTGAAATACTCCACAGAGGAGTCCAGCCATCCCTTCATCATTATGCTATTTACATGTGGCCACTGCTGTTCTTTTTTTCCCTGGGGTCCCTGCAATCTCATGACTTTGTTGAACCCATGCCCACCCCCCCCCACCCGTGTTAGTGAACCGGTGGAGATGACAGGACACATGTGCACCACCTTCAGCCAAACTCAGGAAATGTGCACCGGCACTCGGAGAGGCTCATTAGTACGGTGCCGGGCGTGTAATTCAATTAGACGGCTCCAGTCTGAGGGCCCCAATTTGCCCTCCCCCACCCAGAAGCCTCCCATCTTACGGTCCCGTGACGGCGGCAGCACGTCAGCTGATGGCTCTGTGCTGGTATTCCGGACCGCTCGCATTGGATGTTTCTCTAATGAGGTCTGACAAAGGCTGAGGCCTGAAATGCTGAACACATTTTCTTCCTCCTGAGGAGATTAATTAGATGCAGTTTCCCTTATCGGTGTGTGAGGTACTTACAGTAAGTCTTCAGGGAGGCTGTGAGAAATATGCTAATTTAAATTGCTAGAGATCTTTCCTTTGTGCCTTCCTGTGGGGGCCTTTACCTACCTCGCTCACTGCCACTTCTTTGTAAACATAAATCTCGTTTGCGTGGTAGAATCGTCCCTTTGCATTGTTTGGCTGGAAACTCACATCGGTTAGCCTTCGCTGTGTGGACAAAAGGAGCACATCAGTCGGGTCAGGGCCCAGCGGGACCGGCTGCGCTGAGGCGCCGCATGGTTCTGCATGGTTCTGCATGGTTCTGCATGTGCGCGAGTGACCCGTCTCACCTTTTCGCCTGTGCCGCCGTATGTGTCCTCATGGCCTGTCTGCTGTCCAGCTGGCTCATTCACCACCTCCCTGGCTTTGCAGAGCAGCCTCCACGCTTGTTCTTCATTATCTCTGACGACTCTGACATGGATGGTTTTTTTTTTTGTTTTTTTAAACCCCTTCCTTTCCATATCATATCATGTTTTTAAATTTTTTTTTACATTAATTCGTTGTTTACTCTCGGCCTTTTAATACCAGGCTTATTTGGTCTTACTAGACTTCCACTAAAGTGTTAAGTATGTCTCAACTGACGTTCTTGGGTGAAATAGGGTTAAGTACTCATTAAGCAGTAAGGAGGGTCTTTATGTAACAACTGGAAATGGATTTTTTTTTTCGTTGCACAACGCGAAGAGGAATACTCGTCCTGTGCTTCTGACGGCTGCCCCTGTCCTTCTCCATCACCGTCTCTCCTGCTCTTCCAGGTTAAGGCCATTGATTTCAGCCCACGTCGGTAAGAAGCCTGCCAGCAGCCAGGTAAGCTCTGGTCTCCTCGCCGCCGCTCATCCTGCCGCCCCGCTGTGTCCTCTGGCCCAAGCGCAGCCTAATCTTTTCAGTCCTGCAGATTTGAGGCTCACACCACTATTGCATTTTGTTGAATGTTGCCCAAGTTATGGCCACTGCATTCCAAATGCTCCACTCCCTTCTCCCCACACAGTTCCCGAGGTACAGTAGGTTGTGCAAGCATGCCTTCCCCGTGGCAGCGGCCCTGGCTCAGTCAATCTGTGTCGTGGCGTTCAAATCGACGGGCGACAGGTGGAGCTTGGCAGGAGCCTCTGCCCGACTTGTGCCCTGATGTTACGCCGTCAGTATGGCTCACAAAAATGTGGACCTGCAGCCAGCAGCGGAACCGGCATCACGGTGGGGCTGGTAGCCAAAGCTGCTACTTTGGGCCTCCCGTATTGACTGCAGGTCCCATCGTCTTCCAAAAACAGCACTTTAATTTTCACCACATATAATTAACAGCAACCTGACTTTTTTTGTAATGGATTTGGCTGGATGATTGACATCGCGGCCTGTAGTGTGATCGCAGTAACTTCCCCCCTCCCAGTTTCATTCTGTTTATTTCAGAGGCAGTATCACCTGTAGACCAACCCCCCCACTCCCAGCTACTGATGGGCAGCGCTTTCGGAGCAGCTGTGTTTAGTGCATGCAAACCACACGCGTTTATTAAGCAGCACCAGCACCTACAACATTCCTGCCTAATCCAATCAATTCATAACATCTTTGGATGTGGCGTCTTTGTTTTTAAAGCTGCATTAAATGTACAGATATGAAAGAACAGAACTACGAAAGCAGCCCCCTCCTGCGTGCTGTGGTTTCCCCTTTTCACTACAAAACTGGCTCGGAAAACAATGGTCCCTCCGCAGTGTGTCGTCACTCATGAGGTGCAACAAAGGACAGGAAGGGCGGCAGCTGTAACAAATGTCACACTTCCAATTTTGGAGCATTCAGTCACAGAATGAGCGCAACAAGAAACAGTCACGTGGATGAGCGACGTGCGCGGCACGGATCCTGCGGAGGCCGCTGTAAGCGTTAGCCTCCTTTTGTTGTGATTTTCTTGTTTATTTCTGTGTGCTGAACATCTCCGTGGCATACACACCATTTACTGCAAATGATTTTCGCCGTGTTTACATTTTCTGATGACTACAGCTGAAAATCTGACATTTCCATTATCAGGCTTCTGTTTGTAAGTTTTTTTTTTTTTTTTTTTTTTTTTTTTTTTTTTTTTTTTTTTTTTTTTTGCCAAGCTGTGAATCTTTTCGATTTCGGTTTACAAAGCGTCATCTTGCAAGGCTTGTGGAAGATGGCCACATGCTAATGTATATTAATTCAATTTTGTATATGTAATGTAGAATTATAAAAATCCTACTCAAAGCCCTTGTCGTTCCGCCTCCCTAAAAACTGATCCAGTGACTTGAGAACATATTCAGAGGTGGTTTAGTGTGCGGATGTCGGATGTGAGTAAGTATTAAAAACGGTTTGTGGAGAGTAAGGTAGGATTGGGGCCATCTTGGTGGCTGCAGGTTAAGTCCCTCTTGTGCCGCTTATAAGCCGGCTGCAGGTTTCTGCTTGTCTCGTCTAGTCAGCTCAAGCCCCCCCCCCCCCGTCCAGTGAGCCTGCACTGTGTGGCGGGCCACTGAGTGGGGCCATGTCTCTGCATCAGACCATCAAACACCACGTCTGCAGGACGCCTACGCGGTTATGCTTCAGAGAGCCAGAAACCGCTGCACTTTCACAGAGGTGGGAAGAGTGTGGAAGTTAGGGAGCGATGTTCCTGCATTTGGTCGGTGTTTTTGGGTGTAGTGGGAAGACAGCTGTATTGTGCCGTGTGGGGAGTCACTGCACATGTACCAGGAAGAAAGCACTGCCACGAGGTGTTAGGGTCAACTGGCCTGTTGCTATGCAACCCTCCCACCAATCTCCTGGGTGCTCCCGAGGGCAGGGGAGTTTTCAACTGCCTGCAGCGGAATGAACAGCAAGCCAGTGTTATATAATGTTGCCTTTATTCTTGCAAAGGAGGGGACCAAAAAAGCCTGTTTTGCAGTTCCCTGGCTTTTTTCCCTGATTTTATAAGAAAACAAAAACAAACTTTGAATCTGCTCAGGCGAAGGCAGTGGTTGGCCAGAAACTGCGGTGAAACACCGTGTTTTTCCTTTTTCAAACTGCACAGCAGTAGGGCTGAGTCTCAGTTTCCTTGCTTGAATTTAGTCAGCCTGATGCCGCTCCCGGGGTTTTTAATCAGTCCATTAGGCTGACCTGAATCGGCCTTGTCCACATCACACTGCAGAATTCGACGATTTAAAAATAATTTTTAATTTGGTATTGATCCAAAGGTGATCCAGAGAGACACTCCGTAAGTTAAGTACATGATGTAATACAGGTCAGTGAAACCTGGGAAGACTTCATGTCCCATTGCCTGTCGTAGTGTAGTATGGACGCTGAGTGGGTAATGCCGTTGCTTAACGTCTCTAGGGTTGTGACTAGAATCCCATCTCTGCTCTGTCTTGTATTTGTATATGGTTTGCATGTTCTCTCCGTGTCATTGGTGCTTCTTTGCGCACAATCCAAAGACTGCTGTCTCCAGATTGTCCATGGCGTATGATGCTTGTGCGATGGGCCGGGGTTCTCCATGCTCTCCTTGGGAAGTTGCTATGAACCCACCCACTGCACCTCATGTAGCTTCTCAACACTGTGGTGTTTTGTGTATCAGCAGGCAGCCAAAGCCAGTGCCGCAGTGGTCACTGCGGAGACCTCGCAGCCCGTGGTGGTGGAGAGTGGGCCAGTGGTATATGAAGACGCGATGGAGGAAGAGGAGGAGGAAGAGGAGGAGCCTTGTGTCAGCGCCATGCAGCTCATGGGAGGCAACGGTCAGTTTGTAATAATGTTCCGCCTCTCACTGATTTTTCCGACCTGCTATTTGGCTTAGACCAGGGGTGCCCAACTCCAGTCCTGGGGGGCCGGAGCCCTGTGTAGCTTAGTTCTTTCCCTGTTCCACCATAAATGATTCAGCTCAAGATCTGTGTGGTAATTAGCACAAGGAGTTGAATCAGGTGTGCAGGGCTCCGGCCGCCCAGGACTGGAGTTGGGCACCCCTGGCTTAGAATGTGGGTCTGCTAGGTTTACTGTATAAAGATGCACCTGCATGCTCTAGTCATTAAAACAAAATCCCAGCTCCTCTGGAGGGAGCCTCAGACTGGCATTCATGCTGACACCTCGCACTTTCCCCCACTTTCAGATTATGGGTGCGACGTAGATGACGACGACGGGCTGTAGCACTGGGATCTTCTCCTGTCGGTCAGCTCGGGCCCCCCCACGCTCTCAGCTGCTGTCGCATGGAGGCAAGGGGGCTGCCGCAAATACACTGCTCAGATTCCAGACAGGGAGATCATGCATTACCACTATAAAACTGCTTTGTAAATTCCCATCTGAAACCCAGAAGGAGAGGGAGTTTCTGTGCCAGTGTACCTGACGGAAGGAAGCTGTTACAATGCTGGCAAGGCCAGAGTGAATAATGGCGCGTTTGAACGGTGCTGATGTGCGTGGTGGCGTGGCAGGCCGATGCCCTAGGTGGCATCGCGTTTCACTTCTCTGCTGCTTTGCTCATCAGTGCTTTCAGTGTCTGTCGGTGGACGGAGATGGGTGGGGAAAATGGAATCGCAAATGAACGCACAGCGTGTTTTCCCCGCTGCAGCGTGAACCATGTGAAACGCTTATGATTTCCACTGTTGTAACAGTGCAAAAATAAACCGCAGAGTCAGCTTGATTTTTCGTCAGCGACACAAAGCTGTCTGGAGATCCTACCCGCTTTTCTGCTCTGCTGAGTGAGAGCGGCTGCGTGTCTCACCTGTATCTGCTTAGCTAGTCCCGTCCGAACCAAAGGAATCATCTTTATCACTTATGCCGTCATCCTTTTAGGGGAGGGCTGCCAGATTTCCAGGTGAAATTGAATCAGTCCCAGATACTGGATCCATGGTCAGAAGCATCCTTTGTGATGGTACATCGCCGGCAGAAGGTTTTCTGGAACTGTTGAGTGTGTAAGGATGTGCTTCCTCACTGCTGTGGTTCATATTGGTTGCCGTTGGGCACACGCCCACATGCATATACAGTGAAGGCAGCTTCTGGGGTGTTCTGGGGAGAATATTTATGGAACCAAAGTATGATGTAGCCTTAATTCTATAACCTCAGAGGAAATCTAGCGAGGATGTTCTTTTTCCCTAGTTTTTGTGTTAAAATGTGTTTAACGAGTAACCCGTTGTGGCTCAACTATAGGGGTTTGGAGGCTTGGATAGTGTCCTGAGCTCTTAAGTGTTGTCAGCAGTTTTCTGTTTGTTTTTGTCTTTTTTTTTTAATAGCCATAGTATTTTTATTTATTTGATCAAGTCTGATGTGCCTAGTTTGTGCTTAGACATAGGGGGTCTCTGTAACCGTCTTGTTCCTCTATAGAGCAGGTGAACTGTTTACAAATACAAAGGGTTTCTGTACAGATAGTTTGTATATATATATTTACACCCTTACTGATGTAAATAGTTGTAGTGTGTTTCAACTTTATAGTTGACATAAGCATTTAAAAGAATTATTTAGAAGACGGCCATTCCAATTTTTTTTTATAAAATAATGTAAAAAAAAAATTATGTAATGTTTTTATCCTTTTGTCAGTAGTGCTATGTGTTCCATAGTACCCATGATGCATTTCGGCAGTGGTCATGTGACTAATCATTGCCATTTTCCCTCATAAGTAAAATTCCATTTCAGAGGAATCTTTGGGCTTCCTGTTATTTATGTATTTGGTTTTAATCTTCTGTCCCCCTGCTAATGATCATTTCAGTTTTTTGATGTTCTAAGCATTCGTACCAGTACAAGACCAGCTCAGTAGATTCTCTTGATTCCTGTCTCCCAAGTTTTTGATGCAGAATATCTGTTTTCTGTGTTGCGGTGCAGTCAGACACACTTTACTGCCTGCTTCTACTATTTCAAATTTTATTTTCAGCCTCGCTTTATTTTTGGATCCTTCAGGAGAGAAGAGGTCTGGTTTTAGTAAACCCCACCCCTCACAAAATGGGGTGTACGCTCAGACCACCACACGAATGAACACTGGTCAGGTATCTGCTCACCTGCTCAGTGTCACCTCCCCGATGACCTTCTCCAATTTCCCACCATCTCCTGCTATATTTATCCATGCCTTCTGGGGCCTGGGGCCGAATGTGTGACTCTCCTAGATTGCCTGCATTATTTATTCTATAAGTAGAAATCCCTCCAGCCCCCTACATGCATAGGATATAGAACAGGGGTACGCAGCCCTGATCCTGCAGTGCCGGTATCCAGCAAGTTTTCTATCCCACGTGATGATTTGCTAGCTGCCTGAGATCAGGTGTGGTTCATCAGAGACCAGGTAGAAGAGAGAACTTGGATACTGTCACTCCAGGATCAGGATTGCCTACGCTTGATGTAGATAATCAGTGAAATGGCAGAAAGTGAAAATAGTTGAGTCCCTTCTGGGCGAGTGTGTGTCTGCTGAGAGAGGCACAGAGAAGGTGCTTCTCACGTAGACTTTGAGGTTAGGTCTTCGGAATTCTGAGGCTCTGCATTACTTCTTCATTTGGGATGCCTCTCACTTAACTGCCGACTTCTGCACTCTCTTGTGCTCTGCACTGTTATAGGCCAGTTCTAACCCAGTACTCAGATGAAGGCCCAACAACAACATCTCCCTGGACAATCCTGCTCGGTTTACACCAACGCTGGAAATGGCCAAGAAGTTCTCAGCATCCTGTGTGATGTCATCCTGCCATGAAGATGATGTATAATTTATGGTGTAAATGACACACACAACCCAGACTCTCCAGCATTTTAATTCTCTGTAAGGTGGCTATTTGCAGCTCTTCTTTATGCCTCACTGGATACACCCATGAAACATCCTTCTAGACAAATCCTTTTTCCTGGCGCACCCAAACACTTCATTTGTACAAGCTGACAGCCTGTGCGTACGTGTGTGTACCTGTTTTAATATGTTTGTGCTGACATCTTGGGACCAATACCCCACAGGAACTGCAAGTCCTCATAAAACAGGAGTTCCAGTGTACCCATCTGGAATTTTTTATTTTTAGATAATTTCATATTTTGTAGATTCATTTAAAATTAGGAACTGAATCCTTTATCTCACTGGGAGGAGGGGGGAGGGTTAGAATCCTCCCCAAAGTGATTGGCACAGTATCTGGGTGTCTTTTCCCGTCGGGTGTCCTATTGCGCCCCTCACCCACAGCGTGACAGAGACGAAGTCGGCCCAGGGGACAGGTCTGTGAAGTCTGTTCCATTGTACCTTTGTTCATGGTGAGCTTTCTCCCGTCCAGGTGCCCCTGTCTTTAATGGGGCCGTTCGACCCCAGGGAGTGAAATTTCATCACAACAGTCAGTACTGCAATACAGTTTAACAACGTCACTCCCGTGCATATGGACCGCTGCTTGTAATGAAAGGGCTCCCTGGCTGTAGTGGCATGGCGTACATTAATGAGCAGTCGATTCGTTGTACAAGCCCAGCGTGCGATTACCTGTTAAACGGCTGCCAGCATTAAGACCTCGATACGGGAAGCAAGATCAGCCCAGTGCAGTGACAGGCTCGTGATTTTGGCACAATTTGAGTGGTCGACGTCTTCGAAGCCTCTTCAACCTTATCGGGTGTCAAGCCAGGCCGCAGTGCGCGCAGCGAAGGAGGGTAGCCTTTCTAACTCCTGCCCCCCACCCCTATTAAACAATGGGGGAGGAATGTGACACCCAAAAAGTCTGACGGGCAGTGATATCACTGTGTTGCCAGAGAGGGACACGTCCTTTCGTTCCTCTTAATTACGCACGTAACTGAGACCCAGAGATGGATTCTGTGGGTGCCATTGTGTCGACCCTCTTACATCAGCTCTTCAAAGCATTGAAAATGTTGTAAGTCCTGTCTTTTTTAGCTTATTTAAGTCTGAATTGGGTGCGTGGTCTTGGAATGTTCTGGGGTCTCGGGTCACGTGTGTGCCTCTTCCTCCCAGGAAAGCAGGTTCTGTGGCTCTTGCTCCTGATGCTGCACAGAGCCTATGTAATCCTGTTCCCTCATCGGAAGTGGTGCGTTTACAGTCCGAAAATAGGGCCTCTGAATGTTTTTCACATTATACCATTAATTGGTTAATAGGTCTGACAGTCAGTTTATGACAGTGTCCCATTGTTTTTAGGGACCAACCCCCCCCCCCCCCAAAACAATATAATTACACTAAACAGAGCCAGGCTTTCAATCCATATAGCACCATGCTGGGACAGCACTCACACTTAGCGTGACCATTAAGGACAAACAGCCATGCTGTACTGCTTCTGCAGCTATTTATGGCTCTGTATACCTACTAGAGCAGAGCAGCTTCCTCAGTCTTTATATATTCTTTACATTCAAGGTACATCTTCCAGCCAGTGGTGCACATCATCCATGTATAACATTGTGCAGTGTTTTCAACAGCAGGCAGCGGGAGGCCAGTAATACTTCAGTGTGTGTAAACAACCTGAGCGGTGTAAGTCCTGACTGGAAGGAGCTGTCCTGTGAGCTGGCCCGTCCTGTGAGCTGGCCCGTCCTGTGAGCTGGCCCGGCCTGTGAGCTGGCCCGTCCTGTGAGCTGGCCCGTCCAGTGAGCTGGCCCGGCGGACACGCTGATGGACGAAAAGGCAGAGGAGCACTGAAATCTGTGGGCCGTGGTGAAGCTGGATTGTAGTGGGTGACCAGGCTGTTCTAGCTCCAGAGAAATAAGCAGCTGCATGAATTAATCAGGCTCGTCTGATAAACTGGTATGTAATCAAATCTAATTGTTTATTTAGTTGAGAAGCAGGAAAGTCACATTTGTGGGAGGGATCACGGATATGTTTATTGTTGGGGGTATGCAGGGCAGCTGAGGTGTGGAGCACTTGTTCTGACATAGACAGATGGGGCGACCTGCAGCCCAGGTGACCATAAAGAACGGACCCTCACTGTGATGCATCATCCTCTCGGCTGCCGTCCTTCCTCGGCATACCTCGGCATTTTTTCCACTCCTCTTCGTTCCGAAGCACTTTTCCATCCGACTGCTTTTCCCTCCTTTTTGCTACCATAAACATCAAACCAGAGGTGGAAAGTTCAGGTCCAGAAAGTACAAATCCAGACCAAGATTTTGTTCCAACCAACCAGCTGCTTATTAAGAGTCACCGTCACAGAGTACTCAGCTGGCTGGTTGGAAAAAACTCTTGGACTGGATTTGTACTTTCTGAACCTGAACTTTCCACCTCTGCATCACACCTACTGCCCAGATTCCCTTCTCTGCAATGAACCACTCTTACGGCCATCGTGGTTCTGAAATTCACACTTTCCATTAGGAGGAGTAAAGCCTGTTTGCAGGTACACACTGAACAAAGAGCCATTGGCACTGAGGGCAGCGGCTTCTACTAAAATAATGCGGCCTGGATCACCAGCCCACAGGAAAGGTGTGAGATGTTGCTATTCCAAATGTATGTTTTGTGTGTCCAGATGCATCATTGCATGCCGAGCCTCCTTCAGAGTAAAATAAAGTGAGTTCAGAAACAAATCACTGGCAGCCATTTTGTTTCAGCGATGGATGGTGCTGGTCAGGTTGATGCTGCCTCCCGTGGCGCGTTCAGAGGGGGGGGGGGTGGAGGAGAACAGGTGACTATAATGACTCCAGCAGCAGCCAGCTGGTTGGAGGTTTTGCGTATAAGACGGCGCTGCTTAGTGGGGGGGGGGCTCCACTGCTGTTTGGCTCGTTTCCCCCTGCCAGGAGTCTGCTCACGCTCCATCCATCACTGCTCCGCGGCGGGTGCCACAAACGTCAGCCGCTTGTTAGGGAGCAGAACGCGAAGGGGAATGGGCTATTCGGGATGCCGGCGAAGACATCTGCTTTCCCCATATTCTGTGAAAGTGTGCAGTGTTTGTCAGCAGAAGTGTTGCTAAATGCGAAATTTACTCTCCTTATTGGGTCATAAATAATCTGACAGTGTAGGTGTGATCGGTGCTGTTAAGAGAAGCGTCGATTTGCTAAGATGGACCCAAAGCACATGTGGAAACTGGGTCAGATTTTTCACGGCAGGTTGTGCAAAATGGGGGCTCCATAAAGGATCTGCTGTGTGTTAATGTGGGTACATCAGTGTGGTAACGGTAAGTCTTGGGTTGCTATAATTCACAGTGGAGCCTGATTTCTGTCAAAACAGGCGCATTTGAGTTACGGTCATCATGCCAAGAAACACAACAGTTTCTTTGACATGTGGTGCAGATCCTATTGCTGTCGACACCTAATATATTCAGTGAAATATCAATTATTAAATAGTTACCCATTCCAAACACACTGAAAACGTGCATGACACACCACACCTTGTCCTCTCTGACTGTGTTGTGCGGGTAGGGATGAGAGCATCTGCTTGTCCACAGAGGACGTTTCTGGTAAACGGCATGATTGAGAGGACATCATCGCTCCATGGGAGAGGAGTGGTGGAAGCTCAGCTGGATGATCTGAGCATAATGATGGGGGTAAGTCGGACGGGGCAGGTGAGATATGAATGGGTGCTGCATGTTCCCGGAAGGTGCACTGCGGGACTCTGACTCCTGTGGCTTACACACAAAGCGGCTCCATGCGCTGATTGATGGCCAGGACCGCCGGCTAGGAGGGAAGCTGATTAACGCTTGTCTACAACTTGACTATTAATTACGGCATCCCTTTTCCCACCGGACCGCTGAAAAATCACTCACTGGTGATACCGTTT